AGAGCTATCTACGATCTTCTCTTCAAAAGTTATAAGCATTACAAAAACCAAAAAAAACACGTTTTTAGTCGATTTTTAGCAATTTTCTCCTAAAGTTCACTTTTTTTCGGTTTTTGTAATGCTTATAACTTTTGAAGAGAAGATCATAGAGAGCTCGGAGACATCTCATTTTGTACAGAATTGGCTGTTCTATCATTCTAGCCTGTTAAAACAAAAAACACAATTCACGCTTTCTGGGTGCTGAAAAACTAGGGTTTTGGTTTTTTGGAGACCCAGTCCTTGGGAATCTGATTATAATTTCTATTTTCTTATATTCTTATTGGAAACCATTTTCTCTACTGGAATCACTATTTGGAGACTTCCTAACCGTTAAGATAGGGGGAAAAAATTGAAAATAAAGATTGTTGAACAATTTTGGGACCCACTGTATGTTTTATTCTAGTGAAAATAATATATGATTCAAATATGATTCTTATATTGAATTTAGTTAGCTATGTTTTTAGATGAAACACTAACGCTAGATAAAGTAAACAGGCAACAGTAATTGGTGATACTTTAGAGAATCGAGTCAGTAAAATTTTTTTTTCAATTGACTGCAACATAAATTGTTCGATAGAGATTGTCTTGATACATTGAATGAGTTAAGTCTCATAAATGACTCAAGTTGTGAAGCGACTTGCAAGTAAAAAGTTTTGTTTCTTATGCTTGTTCCTTCTTTAGTAGAAAATCAGCAGTTTTATATTTATAAAAAATATGAACACATTATTCAATAGACCTCGCCAAGCTGAAGTTGACTCCGTCGATAGGACGAGTCATTTTTTGAGACAACTCGAATTCGCTCCTAACTTTCCTTAAATTTTGATGATCAATTTTCATAACAGCATGAAAGCAAAATTTGTTATACATTTTTTTTTCTGGAATCTAAACAAATTCTTCTATCAACAATTAAACTTCTATGTGACTAGAAAACGAATTCGAATTACTCAAATATGTCAGTCACTAGTACTAATAAAGCTATAGTACTTCTAAGTATGATTATACATTTGTAACGTGAATATAGTTCGAACTGAACGGCTCGGGGACTATCCAACAAGTTCAGGTCGTATCGAGTATTAAGATAATTGTTTCAGCAGTTCTTGAAATATATAGGCGATGATAGAAGCATTCTTAGATTCGATCAAATTTAAGTTTGGACATTTCTGAAGATCATTAATTATTTCTTAGAAAGTCTGTTGCTTTTCAGTTTGTGAATCATTTACTTTATTATCTATAAATCTGTCATAGTCAACTGTGAAAGCCTTTTTTTCTCGGTTTACTTCTACTTCTTAGGTTTATCAATTAACTGAAAACTGCTGCAGTCAAGATCAAACCCGAATACTCAAGCTAGAGTACATGACTAGATATGATTTGAATATATTAAAAGTACAATTAGAATTAGATTTCGTAATAGAAAAAAACAAGCTATGCTATCTATAAATAATAAAATTTTCTTATATATTATTAAAGTAAAAATATTTTTCATAAATTTTCTATTTAGTCTATTTTATTATCTTCAATAAATCTGACTATATATGTACGTAATTTGAATGATAATCCTCCGGAATTTTTAACAAAAAATTTTACAAGACTTTTATATCTTTTTTATCCATTGATAAATACAATTATTTATAAAATCGAATTTATTGATAAAGATCCATCAAATTTAACTTTTGAAATTATAAATGATATTTTTACAGCTTATACTCTTCGTACATATTTGAATTCAATTGAACTTATTCTTATTAAATCTATTGTTCATAATCGTGAAGATGATTTAATTATTCGTGTTTGGGATGATAAAATATTTTTCTCAGATTTAAATCTTCGTGTAATTTATTATCAAGATAATATTGAATTTCCAAGAATTTTGTTACAAACAATTGATGGTTATATAAATTTTGAAGAAAATTTTCTTACAATGAATCTTGGTCAATTATTTACTGAAAATCATTCAAAATATCAATTTATTTATTTTAATTTAATATCGAATAAAAATTTTTATCTAAAACAATTATCAAATAATCAAACTGAACTTTATTATAGATCTTTTCGTCAAATATCTCCTAGTGAATATCAAATTCATTTAACGACTATGGCTATAAAAGAATCAATATCTGATACTATTATTCATAACAATAATAATACAAAAATTTTTTTTCCATCAACAGAAAAATTGCAAATAATTAATATTCATTTTTGGCCTATTTATCATGAAATGTTAGAACAAACAATATCATTAATAATAAATATTAATTCTAACACAACATATGAACAATTTATTATTTATAATTTACCAACAATACGTCAAACTTTAGCTCAAATTATTGATGTAAATATACATCATGTTCATATTTATACATATGAATTAAAACAAAATCATATTGAATTACTAGTTGCTGTATTACATTCAACATCGAAGCATTATATAAATAAAGAAATTCTTTATAATAAATTAAAAAATTCGACAAATATTTTTGAAAAAATTCTTTTTAATCAATGTCAATCAAATTCATGTGAAAATAATGGTCAGTGCAAAAGTTATATAAGTTTATTATATAATCAATATGAATATATTTACTATAATACATATCAACGTTTAATACCAAAATATAAATGGAATATAAAATGTTCATGTAGAAATTATTATTATGGAGAACGTTGTCAATTTAAATATTCTAAACAATCACCATGTTCATCAAATCCTTGTTTACCAATGGAAAAATGTATTGAAGAAAGTTCAACATTATATTCATGTCAATGTATAGATGAATTATGTAATTATAATAATATTCTTCGAAAAAATTCATTTGAATGTATTAATATCAATTCACCAACATGTCGAAGTGAGTTTTATTCGATGAGTCGTTTATCTAAATTTAATATTCCAATTCATAACAATTTCATATATATTGATAGTAGTATCAAGTTGATAGGTCGAAGTTTTCTATGTGGATTTAATTAGAATATGGTAGTAGCAAAATTAGGATTTTGATAGTAAGACGGATGGCTTAGAGATGGTCTGACTTTATCTGGTCGAAAGAATAATGATAAAGTTCAGCTGGCATAGATTCGATCAGTGAGGGAACTCGAAGCTTCATCTAGTCTCCTTTCCCTTCGTTACACCACTAGGGTGTTGGACCATTTGGATATCCACGCGTCTAGGTACTAGTTCTCAAGGACAGATACATATCGACATCACATCGAAGACTTTCAACCAATTGAAAATCATTTATTCTCAATTAGTGCACAATAATTTTACCTTTGTACATAACAAAGTCAACTCCCATGGATATACTTATCAAAAATTTTCCAAGAATACGTTCAAAAATACTTTTCAATGGTGAATGTTCATTTTTAAAACTTTTACCCATGATTAGACTCTACTGAAATAAAGAATACGGAAAAATACAACCATCCTATAAATTCCAATGACTACTAAAGATCATGGACTGTAAAATTTTTGGATTCAGATTCATATTGTACTCCTAATTGCAACGATCTTTTTTTATTTGACTCTTCAAGTCACTCTGAAAATGCAAGATACTTTTTATCGATTATTTCTATTCTCCTACTAAAATGTTCTAAATATTTCTCAGATAATCTTCATAATGATCTGATAATAATCAAGTCTGTAATTGTCTGTTACTTTTAGTATATAAACCATCGAAACTAGAATCAACCCGATGAAAATACTTCTTGTACATAATGATAGATTTTAATCAATTTCAATTTTATTGATTTATTTAGATTCATCGAATACATTAACTTTCAATGGTTATAGTTTAATACAAATGAATATAACTATGAATATGACACAACAAATAAAAATAACATTAAGTTTTCGTACACAATCAACTGAAGGTAAATTATTTAGCTTAATTTATTTCAAAGAAAAAATCATAATATCTCATTCAATAATTCTACAAATAATTGATGGTTATATTAATATGAAATTCAATGAAAAAATTCTTTTACAATTAAATCAAACTTTAATTAATGATGGTTTATGGCATGATATTTATTTTTCAATAGATTATATTCATAATTATTATCTTCTTCGACTTGATCATATTTTTAGTGATAAAATAATTTTCTTACAACAAAATTATTTAAATAATCGTAAACAATTAATAATTGGTACTGATTATAAAGGTTGTTTAAGTAATCTAACATTAAATAATCAAATGATATTTCTTCAACAACAAAAACATAATAATTTGATTGAATTTATCGGTACAAATAATGGTTGTTTATTATCCGAAATTATTCAAGAATATTCAAATACGAATGATTTTTGTTCATTGTATCATCCATGTTATCATGGTGGAATATGTATAAATCATGGATTAAGTTTTATATGTAATTGTTTAAAACCACGTTTTACTGGTCGTCAATGTCAATTAGATTTATATCCTTGTGAAAGTTATCCATGTCAATATCATGAAAAATGTATACCATTATTATCAAATTCAAATAAATCTTTTACATGCGTTGCATCACATTTTTCTTTACCGATATTAATAAAAAGATATTTATATATTGGATTAATTGTTATATTGTTTATATGTATTTTATTAATATTAATTATTTATTATTGTAAAAAACCAAAAGAAAATTTTATTAAAAATAAACCACTAGTTTCAGCACCATTACTTATCCATAAACGATCATCAATAACAGATCATATTGAAAGTCCAAGACAAACATTACTTAAATTAAATTATAATGGAAAACAAACAATTGAAACTATGACATTTGCAGACAATAATCATAGAAATTTGATAATGAATTATTTAAATAATAGAGTAAGATCAAAGATTATTATTGAGAGAAATTTAAACTAAATTCGAAAAAAAAAACAACAGATAGGTTAAATCTTCTAAAATAGCTCTTTTTATACATATAATATTTGAAATGTTACTGACTTGCCTAGGATCATTTCATGGCTAGTGGCATCAATGTTCGAAAACAGTACCTTATGAATACGTGTCGAACAACAGAACCACTTAGGTGACAAGAATTTCGCCAATCGATGAAAGTCCTGTTGGGAAAATTTCAAAACCTCATTTAGACATGAGTGAAACCGAGATCGACAGTATCTTGCTTATATGTAGTCGTGTCAAGTTAGAAAATTCATTTTTATCTGATATGCGTTTCTAGTAACAGCAAATTTCCTAATCTAATCCAACCTTGAAAAACATAAATATTATTTTTATATCTTTTTCATAATAAAATGGGATTTTTTGATTCAATCTAATACCAACCTAGAGATTGTAGTCCTTCAACTGATTGTATAACAATGAATTTTAGCTACGATATGATTGATATTTAATCCAGACATTTATAGCAGTACTACTTAGTTGATATTATTCATTATAGAATGAGGTACAGAAATTTGAATATTAGACTTTGTCATATCCTCTATCTTATAAAATGAGTTTTGGCTAAAACTAAATTGCAAAATATCTAATTTTGTTTTGTTTTTTTATAGAATAATCAGCAAGCTTATAAATCGTTAAATCGTCGTTCAGTAAGTTGAATAAAATTTAGAAAAAAAAGAACTTATTTTTTTATATAGAATGATTCAAAATATTATTCAAGTATTGAACAAACGACTATTCCATCAGATGATTATCGTGTTCATGATAATTCACCTGATTATGGTTCGTTATTATTGATTATGATTGACTCTATTTTTTTTATTTAATAAATATACTATTTCTTTTTTAGATAACACATATATTCTACCAGTAACAGAATTATTTGATTGTAAGTTGTTTCAATAAATTATTAATATATTTATACTTTTTATATTTTAGTTTCATTATCACCGAAACGTAAGTTTTGTTTTGTTTTTTTGATTTATTAATAAAAAAATTTCTATATGAAAACAGAATATTTCAATATTCATAACTCAGATAATCAAATAAATTATCAAATTCGTTTAAATTCTTTATCCGATTTAACAGAAAATGATCCTGATTTAACTGAATCATCAAATACATCTTCTAATAATGATCGAATTCTATTAACATCTTCAAGAACAAATCGAGATCATAAATATTCAGGTCTTATTAATCATAATAATATATCTACATCAATAACATCATTACCAAAAGTACCTATCTATGCAAGAATCGTCAAAAGTAATTATAAACTATTGAACAAAAGAATGATGATTGCAAAAATTCTAATTTTATAGCACCTAAAATAACAAATATGGCTGTCAATACTATCGAATGTAATCGATTAAGTAGTTCATTAACTTCAGCTGCAACATTGCCTCGAAAAAAAATTGAACATGATAATATTGAAACAAGTAAATCAACAACGAAAGAAATAACAATAAATCGTTTAAGACAATCCAGTGACTCAGATGTTGAAAATAATAGAAAAAAATCAAATAAATTATCTTCTTTCTTTCAAACTGATGTATAATCTAGAAAAACAAAAACATAATTTCTTGATTTTTTTGTTTCTATCTCATTTTGGTCCGGTGATATTCTTTCGATATTTAATATGAATTATTAAACGAATAAATATTCATCAATCAAAATTTTTCATTTTTATTTTTTTTTCTGAACCTCTGACAATATATACCATAGATGTATAACAGTTAGAGTTTTTGAGGTGTACACGTTGGTCTCTTATGAAGTCACACTGATAAGTTCCTTTTTTATTATATTGCTTTATTGCATTCTGTAACTGTTGTTGTCATATATGGACAAGCTGTCTAATACAAAAAGATTTAACAAAAAAAAAAAAAGAAAACTTGAACAACACAATCTCATCAACTTAAGTATCTAGGGTCCTTCAGAAGATACAATAATAGCGCTACATTGATTCCGGGAATAATACATTAGAGTACTTTGAAAATGTACACAATCATGAATTTGACTCATTATACAACTTTTGTATTGTGATGATAAACAACGAGTTAGACACGTTCTGTATAGTTATATTCATCGATTTGTGAAAAACTATGAATAGTTGTAAAATATTTTTTAAAAGATCGTTGATGTTATTTCAATAGTTATAAAATTTCAGTTCAGTAGTTTTTGCTTATCCTTGAATATACTGAATCATTTGATCGTTGATTTCAAGCTCATAGTGGCCTTGAATATCTCTAGTTTTTCATTCAACATTTTGATTTAGTGTTTATTCTCAGAATCTTATTTCGAATATCTTCTCTTTAAAGTATTTGAAGAAAACACGAGTTGTCTCTCATTTTCTTAAGAAACAGCAGTTTGTCTAGCAGATTTTGAACATGAAGTTGATTGGTAAAAGGTAGCCGAGCTTAAAATGATGGAAAACTAGAAATAAATGAATTATCTAGTTGTTAAATATGAACTTTGGAGAGAAGAGTATGACAAAGTACAACTTCGAAGCTTTTGATGACAATATATTTCGCGTCGTTCGAACGATGAACTTCAACGTAATAAATATATTTTAGTGCTATAGAACAATTACGATATTTGAGTTTAGTACACTTCTCACCACCATTTAACTTTTAATTACAATCATATGAGGATATCGAATTCTACGTACTTGATCTTGGCACATGCCTTCATATATATTCAACTTAGAGTGAGAAATAATAGAATAGGATAATATTGTTATCATGAAAAATACTTAACAAGTATAAGAACATATTGTTTTTTTTTATAGAATTAATCAAATGATTTTTCATTAATGAAAATTATTTCTGACTTTCACATTCTATTGAATTATTTTGGCAGAAAATTTAGCACAAAAGCCTTTACCTACAATATATAAAATAAATTTATAAACAAATGATCTAAATATGCTTACTTTTTATATCACAAACGTATAAATACAGAATTAATGAAAAACATTATATACAAAAATAAAGTTGCCAATGTTAAATTCTATTCTTGAAGTAAACATAACATTATTCTTGTCTTTCAAATAAAATATAAAAAGATAACAAAAAACAAAAACGATTACTTTTCTTATCTTAAATTAAGAAGTGGTACAAAATGATTAGGCATCCAACTTTGTGTTGTACTCTTCAATTTTAGCTGTTTGTTACAATTTGAAAAAAGAAGTTTTACATCTCTAACTGTTTTTGGTGCTTCTACTTTTGATTGTTTGTGAATTTTTGCCTCTTTATTTATCAATGGATTAAATTTTTTATTATTAAGCATTTGATAATGTAGATCATCATCACCATTAACTTTAGGATAAACACTTATAACATCAATATTAAGTACAGTTGGTATACTTAGAAGATCCCAAATAGATGCAAAATGTGTATCATGTACCATTTCTTTTCGAACATAATCTTCAAAATCATCAAGAATTATCTCTAATGGTTATGATTTAGTTTTGCGTTAATTCACAGGCTCTTGAGCGCAGGGTTCATAGATNAAACTTTTAAAGAGGATTGCCGTACGTTAGAGAATTTCCAAGATCATAAACAGTTTTCACTTGAAGTTTCCAAGAAACCGAAAACGAATAATTATTCAGTTGCTAAAAACAAGTTGAATAGTTCTATTCGAAAAACAAAAAATAAGTAAAAAGAAAATAATGTATGTGCTTCATTTCTTAACAAAAATATTGACTTAAAGTGCCAGTGATGAAAAACTATGGTAGACGTTATTTTTAGCTGAAATATACACCCATAGTTTCGACTTTTCAAGTTGATTACAGATATGTCCTTACTTTTATATTGATAGGATGTGAAAACCTGCCAAAAAAAATCTGTTGTTAGAAAATTAACCTACGATTGTTCACCGCTGATAAGCATAGCCGAGTTCTCAGAAAAAATAATGTTTTTTCAACAATGAAAGAATTTTCGAAAAAACCGATTCATACTTTTCTAGCGCATCAAATAGTGATTTAAAGCACGCAGGAAAAAAGATTCTATATCTCACTAGAAAAAAATTAGATAGATTTTCGAAATCAGCTAATACAATGGTCAAAAGAGCTCGATCATGGATTCTTTGTACAATGCTCATGTTGTATGCGGCAAAGCTCCATACAATTTCTTAAGACTCAATTTTATATGAGGAATCTAAAAATCATACTGGTGGGGTCGAAAGATGAAGTCATGAAGACTTATACATCAAATTAGATTTGTTGCTGTATGTTTTGGCTATAAGTAAAGTTTACTGTATATTTGCATTATTAACACCTACATAAGCACTTGCGCTTTTCTTATTTGGTACATATGTATATTTCATTTAAAAAGAATCTTCAGCCACGATTTTTGACTTGTCTAGGATATATAGGAAATATAGAACGATTAAGAAGCCTGTACATAACGTGTAGTAAAAGAAAAATTAACGTCGTAAATTTTCAATCGATCTTTCATGTCATGCAGACTAGACAGAGCGAAAAATATAATATGATGTTTAATCAAATCAGATATAAAATAGCACAACATTTTATAACAGAATGGATTGAACCTTTCTTCGCCATATTAGCAATTATTTATCTATTGACAAAAGACACTAAAGAACTCAACGTGTATTTATTAACTTTTGGTTTCGATTGCATATCTTTTCTTTTCTTTGTTGTTTGTTTTTATTAAATTTTTTCTATTTAAAAGAAAGAAAAATATAATTGTTATTGAACAATATTTATCTAGCAGTAGAGTAGTATAGAAGTTTGTTCAGTTTACTCAATACTTAGATTTATTCATTGATGAAAATACTAAATAAATGAATAAAAACAAATTATAAAAATTTCTATACTTGATAATAGCATTCTGGAATTTTACCCTTTCGGAAATGTTTGTATTTAGAATTAATATTCTATTAATTTATTAGATCGTTCTACTGCAAAAACTTATTTGCATTGTTAGATGCATCTTCCATATATATAAGTTCTTTTGATTTGATCATAATAGATATGAACTATGTCATACGAAGCGAAAAAATCATTTTATTTTCGCATCTTCTGATTGATTACCACATTCGTCGACTATTCACATTGATTTAAGCGTTCAGCACATTTCTATGCATATCATTGTTTTTCTCGAAGAACTTTGGCATTTATTGTTGAGTTCTGCTTAAACTTAAAATTGACTTAGTTCATACATTTTTATAATGTTCATCGTATTCTGGATATGCTAGATTAATAATAACCCTGTCGCACTGATTGACATCTACAATAAGATCCGTTTTCTACACTAAATACGAAATTCTGCAATATTTTGGGGCATTCAAAATCTGCAGTAGAAATCTTAGACTGATAGAATGTGTTGGAAGATTCTAGAGAGTTCAAGAATGATCTCCGTACTCTTACTATTGATAAACGTTTATCATATCTAGGAAAACGTACACAATGATTGTAGGTTTTCTTCTTCCTCTTCGATCGGTTGACATGTACATCTAACCAATCACAATCGGCTCCTCTTGTTAAGATCTAGTGGAAAACACAAAATCCTCTATTTAAACTTCCACTCACTATGCTTTCTTCGAAAATATATGTCACTTCCACAAAATAGCCTGAAATATATATGAATATGTTCGTTTTATTCATCGAATTAATCCATTCATTTTTTGTTAATCAAAATTATTTCTCACATTCAAATCCTATTGAACTCTTTTGATAGAAAGTTTAACATAATAACTAATACTTATAATAGATAAAATATTACTTGATCTAACATATAAAATTGTAAAGAAATNAAACTGTAAACAAGTGAACCAAATATCCTTTGTTTTTATATCACATAAAGTATAAATTCACAATCAATCAACAACGTTTCATACAAAAACAAAGTTAAAATATTTCATTTTATTCTTGAAGTAAACATAACATTATTGTTGTCTTTCAAAACCTTGTGAAAAAACAACTAAAAGTATTTCTTCTTATCACAAATTGAGAAGTGGTACAAAATGATTAGGCATCCAATTTTGTGTCATATTCCCCAATTTTAATGGTTTATTAAATTGTGAAAAAAGAAGTTTCACATCTCTAACTGCTTTTGGTGCTTCAACTTTTGATTGTCTATCATTTAGTGTTTCATTACTTGTTAATGGACTAAATCTTTTAACATTAAGCATTTGATAATGTAGATCACTATCACCATTCACTTTGGGATAAACACTTATAACATCAATATTAAGTACAGTTGGAATACTTAGAAGATCCCAAATAGCTGCAAAATGTGTATCATGTACCATTTCTTTTCGAACATAATCTTCAAACTTATCAAGAATCGTCTCTAATGGTTCATATTTAGTTTTGTATTCATTTATACGAAGAACAAGTTCAACTATATTTCGAGCTCGAAGTTCAATAGATGTAAATGCTGATGCTTCAGTCGTTGTACCAGCTCCAGCTAATTTAAGAAATGTATTATAAAAACAATTTCCATCACCAACAATGGCTACTGGCATTGTATTACGAAATTCTTTATTACATTGATTTTGTACATAATACTCAGCAGCAGAATCACGTGGATGAATACTTTGATCAAATTTCTGTATTGGAGTATATAGAAGTGGATAATAATTTAATATTGGTTTTAATAATTTACATGCTTTTTCAAGTTCATGAAATGAGGTTTCAGCTGCAATACATAATCGTTGTAAAAATTTATCAAATATCACTGAACGCGTTGACTCTGAACACTTCGTACATAAATGTTCTCGATTAGCTGGTAACTGTTGTTCATCACAAAGAATACAATTCCGAATTGAAACCAATGATGATTGTGATGCTATTCGATATCTCTCTCTTTCATTCGTAGTAGTTCTAGTAGTAGTAGCTGCTTGATTGATTTTTTCTACATACTCAGTCCACTCGTTAACAAAAGCAACATAGGTTGGCCGTTCAAATAATACAAATCGAACATCTTTAACATTACATGAATATTGTCTTACTGATTCAATAGCGACTTGTGCTGCTTCTTGTGGAGGAAAATGATTTGCTCCACATGATATTGCTGGATAAGCAATTGATGTTAATGAATATAGATTAGCTAATGCAAACGATGTAGAATAACATGATTGTAAAAGAAAAGCAGATTTTTCTTTTTGTTCACTCTGATAAACTGGACCTACAGTATTTATAACAAAAAGAGCGATATTTCGATTTTCGGCGTTCTTTCCAACAAATATTCGTGATTGTCCAATAGGACATGAATTATCTTGCATTTCTCTTGTAACTGCTTCTACTTGATCAACAAAAAGTTTACCCATCGTTTTATGTATTTTTTCATCCAATCCTCCATTAGGATGCATCGATTCTTTTGTTGGATTAACAACAGCATCACATATTTCTTTACTTAAATCACCCAGTCGAATAGTTACTTTCAATGAACCATTAGCAAATTTAAAAACAATATTTTTATCATCAAGTTTTTCGATATGACTAAATATAAAAAATATAAAAACATGTGAACTTCGTAGAAGTCAATCTTACATAGCAGACATCGTCTTTTTATAAATAGTCGAATAGAAAAAAAAAATTTTTTTTACAAAAATGAGTGCATAAACTTGTCAATTTGTATTATTTGCCAATGCAAACTCTTATTTGTAAGTTTCTTTTTTCAATGTTGTCTGGTGTAATAACTGGAAAAATTTTTTTTTTCTTTTTCTTCGTTACAATTCTCAACCGTGCTTTCAATCCACACGTGTTATTTTTTTTTATCGAGTCTCGAATACATAGGAAATGGATGTCACAATCAAAATACAAAAGCATAAAAAAATGACGTATACGTTACCTTTGCCTTTACTATTGATTTTATGAAAATGAAAAAAACAACCAGTGCAGTCACTATTAATTCTAACAGACTATCGCTACTGATTCATATTCGTAACAATCAAATTCAAAATCTATATCAATACGAAAAACTCCTATGAGAATACAATGAAGAAATATACAACATGTGCTTGTTACAAATGATCAAAATGAATAACCTAATTAAGAATATCTTGAACATGCTCGAAACAAAACAATAATGTTAATGTAACTAATGCTAATACATTTTGTAGAAAAACAGAAGAAATAAATTTCTTCAATAGAACAAAATGATAGCTCAAATGTATTTTACATATCATTGAGAATATTAGTAATTAGTAAATAATTAATTATACATTTCGAAAAATGTATTTTATTAAACGAATCTTTCTGTATTAATGACTTGAATAAGAAATAAAGAAATGATTGCAATCAGTGTACAAGCAAATGATATGTCGAGTAATACTTTTTGATAATGTATTATGAAAAAATAAAGAAAATGTAATAATAATAGATTTGTATTTAAATCTTTGAAGTGTTGTCTATTGAAATTCTAGTTTCTCTAATATTGTTATATATCATATGGATAGCATTTAGTGAAACAGAAATTTTAGTCGTAGTATCTCTATTGGTAATTTATATAATATAGATTAGAGAGAGAAGAAAAAGTGATTTGGTTTTTAATGAAACCAAATATAAAGTATAGTACTTGGAAAAATCCTCGTGATAGCAAATTATAAAAAAAACTTAGTAAGCAGGCGATGCACAACTCAGAAGAACTACAGTTTTGCGTACAAGAGGGACAAATTATACCATATTTGATAGTCTAAAACTTTCAGAAAGTCGTATAATCTCTAATGTGGATTGATTCTACAGTTGCAGGTTGTCGATAATATCGGTCGTTGATGATCTAATTGACTGACATTAGCCACAAATAACACTCAAGCTCAATGAATAGTTTTAGCCAGTCTAGTTGTGACATATAAATAAATTCACTGATGCTATGAAGTTTGTCCAGGGGGGCGGGGGGGGGGGGAGAGCGTATTTCTATGTATTTCCAGCTATTTCTAGGTATTTCTACGTACTATTGGTAGAAATACCTGGAAATACATAGAAATACGGCAATATAGAAATACGCTTATTCTTCTAGGATTACTGTCCAAAAATTGCCAACAGGTTTTGATAGAAGGTTACATTTTAGGCTCAACAAAATTTAGACGTGCATCTTTACGTATCCTCTGAAGATAGACGATGAAATACTCTATCAAATAATAAATTAATACTTGAATTAAAGTTCCGAAAAAATGCGGGAAATAATTGCAGTATTGATGAGTCGTTATTCTTTTTAGTATACCGAGCATAACTTTTGGATCTTATTAAAGCCTGATGAACTTCAAGAAGTCTAAGTGGCCTATATGATATGGTTAATAGGTAACAATGTATAACTATATAATAACTAATGACAATAACTAGATTCTCAATTTAAAGCATGCATTTTACTTATATGGCCCTATAGTAGAAAATGAAATTTCGATTTCTACTGCAACATATATATGAACATATTCTTTTTATTCATCGAATTAATCCATTCATTTTTTTGTTAACCAAAATTATTTCTGACATTCAAATCCTATTGAACTCTTTTGATAGAAAGTTTAACATAATAACTAATACTTATAATAGATAAAATATTACTTGATCTAACATATAAAATTGTAAACAAATGAACCAAATATCCTTTGTTTTTATATCACATAAAGTATAAATTCACCATCAATCGACAACGTTTTATACAAAAACACAGTTAAAATATTTCATTTTATTCTTGAAGTAAACATAACATTATTGTTGTCTTTCAAAAACATGTGAAAAAAACAACTAAAATTATTTCTTCTTATCACAAATTGAGAAGTGGTACAAAATGATTAGGCATCCAATTTTGTATTACAGTCCCCAATTTTAATGGTTTATTACAATGTGAAAAAAGAAGTTTCACATCTCCAACTGTTTTTGGTGCGTCAACTTTTGATTGTGTATCATTTATTGTTTCATTACTTGTTAATGGACTAAATCTTTTAACATTAAGCATTTGATAATGTAGATCACTATCACCATTCACTTTGGGATAAACACTTATAACATCAATATTAAGTACAGTTGGGATACTTAGAAGATCCCAAATAGCTGCAAAATGTGTATCATGTACCATTTCTTTTCGAACATAATCTTCAAACTCATCAAGAATCATCTGTAATGGTTCATATTTAGTTTTGTATTCATTTATACGAAGAACAAGTTCAACTATATTTCGAGCTCGAAGTTCAATAGATGTAACTGCTGATGCTTCAGTCGTTGTACCAGCTCCAGCTAATTTAAGAAATGTATTATAAAAACAATTTCCATCTCCAACAATGGCTACTGGCATTGTATTACGAAATTCTTTATTACATTGATTTTGTACATAATACTCAGCAGCAGAATCACGTGGATGAATACTTTGATCAAATTTTTGTACTGGAGTATATAGAAGTGGATAATAATTTAATATTGGTTTTAATAATTTACATGCTTTTTCAAGTTCATGAAATGAGGTTTCAGCTGCAATACATAATCGTTGTAAAAATTTATCAAATATCACTGAACGCGTTGACTCTGAACACTTCGTACATAAATGTTCTCGATTAGCTGGTAACTGTTGTTCATCACAAAGAATACAATTTCGAATTGAAACCAATGATGATTGTGATGCTATTCGAAATCTATCTCTTTCACCCGTAGTAGTTGTAGTAGTATTAGCTGCTTGATTGATTTTCTGTGAATAATTTGTCCATTCTTTAACAAAAACATCATAGATTGGCCGTTCAAATAATACAAATCGAACATCTTTAACATTACATGAATATTGTCTTACTGATTCAATAGCAACTTGTGCTGCTTCTTGTGGAGGAAAATGATTTGCTCCACATGATATTGCTGGATAAGCAATTGATGTTAATGAATATAGATTAGCTAATGCAAACGATGTAGAATAACATGATTGTAAAAGAAAAGCAGATTTTTCTTTTTCTTCACTATGATAAACTGGACCTACAGTATTTATAACAAAAAGAGCGATATTTCGATTTTGACGATTCTTTGCAACAAATATTCGTGATTGTCCAATAGGACATGAATTATCTTGCAATTCTTGGCTAACTGCTATTACTTGGTTAACAAAAAGAGTACCCATCGTTTTATGTATTGTTTCATCCAATCCTCCATTGGGAAGCATCGATTCTTTTGTTGGATTAACAACAGCATCACATATTTCTTTACTTAAATCACCCTGTCGAATAGTTACTTTCAGTGAACCATTAGCAAATTTAAAAACAATATTTTCATCATCAAGTTTTTCGATATGACTAAATATAAAAAATATAAAAACATGTGAACTTCGTAAAAGTCAGACTTACATAGCAGACATCGTGTTTTATAAATCGTTGGATACAAAAAAAAGCCGACTGTTTTTCCACAGAAATTGATGAATTTACTTTCCAACTTTGTGTTATTCTTCAATACAAACTGTTCTTTGTTATTTGTTTTCACAACGCTGACTGATGTCATATCTGAAAAAAAATTATTTTCTTTATCTTTGTTACCACCCTCGATAGTGATTCAAAGTCACACGCATGTTATTCTATTTGCCTTGACGAGCCTGTAACACATAGGAAATAGTTATTGCAGTCAAAAATAAAAGAACACAAAAAACGTCCTGTAGTTTACCTTTATCATTATTTATTTTTGCCGTTGGATAAGAAGAAAAGCAAATACGATTTCTGTCTATTCTAACAGAGTGTCGCTATTGTCTCATGTCGATGACAATGAAATTCAAAACCTAAGGGTTGGACAACTTTTCGATCGGTGACAAAAAGGAATATTTTAAGCGGAATTATGACCTTCAGATCAAAAATGATTCTCTTCAGTACATGACAGCTAAACTGACGAACAGCATATAATACGCTATACAAACCTAACCGAACGATCGGTGAGAAAATGAAAAAGTCATAGACAGAATGTTATTTCCGATAGGAAAAATGATATTAAAAAATGATAATATGATTTAAACTATGATAAAAATGCTTACATCGATCATTGGTTGCATACAGTTTATGAACGGAGAAATGAAAATCCATAGAAATAATTACATATCCTATAGAGAAAATGATTTCGAAATATGAAAAAATGATGTAATCTATGAGGAAAATCCTTTTGTTAACAATTAATTAGTTATACCGACCTTCTATCAGCGAAGAAAAAAGAATCCAGAATAATAATACTCGTTTTTATCGAAAAAATGGATTTGCAATATGAAAGCAGGTGTATTAAGAAAGTATAATACGAACGAAAGTTAGATATGCGAGAAGATTCACTAACTAAACGATGAAAACCAATATGCGAATAGCAGTATTTGGTGGAGAAAAAATGGATTCAAAATATGAAGGAATTAGGGATGTTACTTTATTTTGATTATTATCTATAATAAAGAATAGATATAAATAAAAACCGTCTCTTTATAAAATAAAGATAAATGAAATCTTTATATGTCTAAAATAGGGATCAAGGTTTGTCGTTATCTATCGTTATAAAGTAAAAGTAAAATAAATAATAAAGAAACTTTTTTTCTATAAGAACCTAATCTTTAATTGTTACCAAGTAATTCACAAAAAGTTACGCTATTATAGATGAAAATGAAATAGACAGAACAGTTTTTTGCGTATGTTTCTTATGTATCAGATTGATTTTTTAATTATTCACATATCGAAGTGATGTTGGTGATAAGAAAGAATATTGATAAAATTATCCTGTTGTTATACTAGCTATTTGTCTATTTACTTATCACAGAAAAAATCTTTCTTTATTCTTTATATTCTTTTTGTTTTTGAAAATAAAGAATTCGTTTATATTTGTTTTGTCAAGTAAATATAAAGTGACACCCTTAGAAGGAATGGCTATGGGGTTAGGCTGCCCTCTTCACTACTCTCAAGAGAGGGATACCTACAAACTGTCAATTTCTGTCTGCTACCCTCCTTCGTGTTACAAAGAAGAGTTAGCTAGTGTTTTTCCCTCACTTGTCGTACCTGCAGCTGTAATTGACTGAAAAGGAACGCTCAAAAACCAGCTTCTGAACGGACCCTCACCACACTCTTGGAAAATATTCATTAGTTCGATAGAGTGATTACAACTTTCAGATGGACAAACCAATTCTCAGATGAAAAAAAAATAGAAGTCTCTGAGGCATATAGACAGCTCGTCAAAACAACCATATGTATGCAATTCTTCAATAGCTATTTCAATACTTGTCAGCTATTTATTCACGTCGAATATATTTTTAGGAGTAGCTATTCAAACTGCAACACCATTTCAAGATATTCTAGCGCTAGTCGATAAATTCTTGTAGCCACTTGCATACGTGTCTGCAATTTATTTTCACGAACTAATTGTTTTACGAGGAAGCGGACTATAGAAGAGACGGATAAAACTGGATATAAATATCAATGATTCACATCACTGACTCGATTATCGTAATATTAGGTTTAGTAATATTGCTGATATGAAAAAGAATGGAGAGTTAGCAGTATGAGAATTATGTCCGTTAATCAATAGNAATTTGACTAGAAAGGACACTTTAGTCTCCATTTAGTGTTAGAGTGTACCATCGCTGACGCCAACAATATGGAGGATATAGCGAGGACTCATTTATTGTGACTCCCCTATTAAGCTGAGACTGTTTGTGAAAAGACAAAACAGGCCGGGAATTCTTCAGAGCGGGCACTATCCTTAAAGTGGCTTAACTTCCAGGATTGTTCTATGTATTGTTCGATCATAACGAGCAATTACAAGTAGTCAGCAATTTTATTTTTTGTATTACTTGAAAGTACTACTCATTCGAGGAAACAATATGAGAATGTGATGGAAAGAACACGGACCGGCAGGTCTTCACATGAGACACTCATTTAAATATTTCTAAGGTTTGCATTGTTCACAGAGTTGTTCTGTTATATGCAAGCACTTCTATATTCGTCAAGTTAGTGTCCACGCTAATCGAAATTTTTCTGTCAAATTGGCTTAGGTCGTCTGCCGAGATAACAGTAGATTTTCGGTTCGAATTCCAAGCAGAGTCTCTTTGTCTTCATTCTGTCCATTTATATATTTTCTTACACAGGAACTCGTTATGACTCACATATGATGCCTACACATATCTCTATCGATTTTTATTGCTTCGCAACGGATTATTTTCTAAAAACATTCAGCGTTGCATTATCTAGAAAGCTCAGCAGAAGTGGTTAAGGCAGATATAAAAGGAAAAACTTACCACAGTAATACTACAAAAGTCTATCAGTAATAGCTTTCGAGATGCTTTCATTGATACTGACTCGCGTTTTTTGCTGGTACTAAAGCAGCATGTAAAATATTCTACGTAGAAAATTTATGTTTCAAGAAACTAGTCCTTGTCTTGCACGCTCACCCTTACTACTAACACATAAACTATTCGAAGCAGCACTGTTTCAGAATATGTCTAGCCTTGCAAAGTATCGTTTAGTGGCATTTGCATAAACCGAAACATTTCTCCAAGAAAAAATACTATGACAAGTTGCCCCTATTTTTCCAAAAACTGGAAAAATACTGTAAAAAACAGGCTTATTGTCGAAAATTCACGAAAACTAACAATAATTTAACTCGATAGACTTTTGATCGAAGAGTACTTATGGATACTCACAAAATACAGCTTTCAAAGCTCAATAGAAATGTGTGTTTAAGTTGCCCCTAAGGTTTGACATCCGAGCATATAAGCACAAATGAGCTCGATCAGCGCATGAAAATTGTTGGCATCCTATATTCACAGCATTCTTATGCCAATTGGGCTGCTTTTTTTTGTCTATAAGCATTACTTCTCTAGGATTTTAAAGAGTATTCAAAGCTGACTCTGCTTGAAAAGTTTAGTTTGACACTATAAAAAGCCAAAGAGATATCAAACAAAAAGGTAGAGGGTGATTTATGCTGGGCACCATTATTTTCTAGTACTATGAGTGCATTATGGTGCCACATGAAAATTAAATTGCTTTACACTTATGATCGTTCGCCGTGACCAAAACTACACAGCAAAATTTCAAAGGTAGAGATATTTCAACGAAATCGTCCTTTTTCAGATCTGTGTGCTCATTTTCATTTCCAGAAGAATCTCTTATCATTTTCATCTTCATCATAGGATTTCAAATAACACAAGCACCAAATGATTCCATTATCCTACTTCTTCATTGTAACTTGAAAATTCTTTTGACGATTCTAACCACGGACGTATTTTCGGTAGAATACGGTCTTTTCAAGACTTTTCGGCTCGAATTTTGTCGACATCAGAAAACCAGCCATTATGCAATTAAAACTATTCGTTCTGAAGGTATTATCCTAGGCATATTCATCGGTAAAAACTTAGTTAAAGAGAAACCCTTCCACGAAAAATTCCTCAAGCACTTGTTTTCTGTACAGCATCACATTTTATTTTCAGCAAAGGTCAAACATGTTCGAATGGTAAAATAATACAATGCCGAAAAGTTTTTTTTTCTACAGTGGAACTCATAAAATGTATTGATAGCTCTTGCTTCAGAGGCTTGATGAGAAGAGTAGCGTTACAATAATTAATATCTACCATTCATTTCATACAGAACTTCCCCGGGTTTTTGTCGGCAGGAAAGTAATTACTATGATACGAAAACAATACTACACAAGCTTAGTGGTGCTACTTAAGGATAAAAGAATCCGCTGGATACTGATAATGAGAAAAGTCTTCTGAGGAGAATGCAATTACTATGTCAATAAACCTTAAAGAAATATCGATGAATTAAAAATGAATTGTGAAGTTGATTTAAATAAATCTTTCATTGTTGATGATGTTGCTTGTACTATTGCATTAGCAACTAGTTCTTCTGAACGAATTCTACACAATAAACAGAATTTATATTCCTTGTATACTCAGTAAAACACAAAACTTTAAGAAACGCGTGTACATTTGACGGAAATTTTTAGAAACTTCCAATAATTTGCAATATATTTTTCTAGTCGATGCATCTCGTGTACGAACATGCAGAGGCATACGTTTGACAACGATATGTTTGGAATAGCAATTCTTCACTTTTTAAGCAAAACATGCTAGATCATGCATGACCCTTATTCTTGCAAGCACTCGCAGGGTGTGGCTGTGGGTGTGGGTGTATTGATTTTCTCTTTTCTTACGGCGACATCCACATCCACACCCTCTCGACAAATTTATGTATAAATATTTTGAATTGCGTTTGTTTGTTTGTTTAAAAAATCTAAAGCACAATAAAAACATTGTTATCATCAAATATTGATGTGAAGATTGCTCGCTATAATTAGATTGTATTATTCTTCATCTCTTTTTAAATTGCACATTAATTTGAACGACTTCAATATATTATCTGTAGAATTCTATTTAGGTAATCATCTGTTTCAATCCATAAAAATGTGTTGATCCATTTTAATCATGTTCAATAGTTGAATATAAAAACCCAACTTCCTATTTTTTTTTCTTGAGTATCCTACGATATGTCAGTCACGACACATCTAAAGTTAGCAATTTTAAAGAAATTTGAAATTCTAGTAGGCATTTTTTAAACTTACATTGATAAGGTTATATTCAATCAGATGATTGAAATCGAATGAATAATTAATCTATGATTTAATCATTACTCGAGGACACCTATTTAAAAAAGATTCTCTATGAAAAAATTGATTATAATCGATCAAATATAAACTCATCGTTCTAAATTATATTATTAATAATTGATAATTTAGACTTATATGAAAAAAACTGATTTTAATGGATTAAGAATAAAGTTGACTAAATTGTTGATTCCAATCAATTTAGTTTTAAACATTCGATATTTATTTAGTTTTTTATAACTATTTAACAAAAAAATTATTTTACTCTTTATAGGGACTCTTTTTAATATATATACTCGTGGAAAAAAATAGTTGCACACAGTTTTTCTTTGACATTATCCTTACAAAGATATGCGTTTAGAAGAATAACCTCATATTCTGATAGCGTTTGGAATTCTCTATCACTCTATATATAAACATCTTGACTTGCATTTATTTGCTAAAAGAATATTTTGAGTACAATGAAGGCACCCTCATTCTCAGATTTTCTAAAACTGCATTTTTTTGCCACGTTGTAGTCTTTTTTCAAACTTATCATAGAATAGGATTAACTTTTTTGAAAAAGTAATTATATGCACTGATACAGCTTGAGATTCTCTATCACTTTGTACTGTGCTCACTTTGATTTGCGATTACTTTACTGAAAAATTCTTTGAATGTGTTTATGCTGCATCGACATTGAACAGAATATGTCATATTTTGCAATACATGCAAAACCTTTTCGTTACGTGAATCATTATTGTTGTTACGGATTGTCTTCTATCACATTCCAAAAATATTAATCAATTCTTCTGATGCTTGTAGAATAATACGGATATATTGAGTGTCTATGGCGATGATGGAAATAGCACTGAAATAGTATCAATGGATATAGTGTAAAATAAACGGCAACTTGACACAACAAATATCGAAGATATACGAGACAATGGAAATTCTTGTCGATAACAGTACTCTGCAAAGCAAACTGTACGTTCATAATTGCTAGAAGCTATTTTTGTTTTTAACAAGACCTTCATCGGAGATTTTTGATGAGTAAAATAGCACAATATGCGAAGCTATAAGTAAATTAGCAATCGAAATAAATCAAGTAATCATGTTTATTTTGTATCTATGATAATTTTTTTCAAGCGAACAAAAAAAACCAAATCATACTATGGATAGAATAAATCTCAACTGATTCAATAACTTCACAATTGTTACTAAGCCAATGGACAACATCAAATTTCTTTGTTCATAATTACACATGTATTTAATAAGTGTACGACGACAAACAAAACGAAAAAGAATATATAATAGTTTTACAATGAAGCATATGTAAATAGAGAAAAAAAATATGCGATTAAATTGTTTTGTCTATAGCAGAATATGCGAGTTAAGGAAACAACGAATAAATAAATATACAGAGTATCGCGTAGTAAACATCTCCGTTTGCTCGCCATAACTTTTTTCTTTCCAAATAACAGATCCCATTGTTTTTCCAAAAGATATGCTATCAAATCTTAATTATATAGCTTTTATTGTGTTTCAAATTAAGAAAAATTTGCTTGAAAAACTAATCGGCACTTTCCAAGATAACTAGTTTTCGTATTTTTCTGAATTTGATGGCACATCTTTTAGAAAAACAATAACGTCTATTGGTTGAAAAGAAAAAAAAAGTTATAGCTAACATACAGAAAAGCTCATTTATTATGCAACATTTGATAATTAATACATATTCATCTCAAGTATGACTACTTATAACAGGGAGTAGTATTACAGTTGGTTGTTGGGTAAATTCACCTACTCTACTAGGATGTGTTGCAAGAGTATTACCAACACTATTATTATTAACAATCCATCTTAAACCACACCTATTACACACCTGCCGTATGACCAATTTCATTTCTTTTCGATAAAGACTTGAAGCAAGAAGAAATAAATAGAATGATAAACTAGGAGAAGTATAATTTAATATTCCAGTAACAGATGAAATAAAACTTTCAATCACTTTTCGTTCAATCGATTTGTCTATTCCCATATATGTTGTTGCAACAGAATAGACTAGATTGATACTCCCCATACTTGTCGCAATAACATAAACAATAACTTGTACGATTAACATTGCAAAAACTTGTTGATCTTTTTTCTGTTGTTTTCGATCTTTATCTGTTGATAAATTAGTGTTGACAATTGGAAGTGGATGAACATGTCGACGATCTTGTTTTGACGTTAGATTACGAATTGTCAGTGCAGAAAAAATAAGCATCAACGTAGGTGGAAGAAAACCAACGAAGGACATGCCATAGATACTATTGGCAAGTGCCGATACACCTGGATACACACAGATAGTGTTAACAGCAATATTAAAGACTAGCATATAAATTGGGAAGATATGCCAAATAATAATGATAAAAGGAATCACATAACGACGAGCAACTTGTACACGAGAGAATTGTCGAAGAGTAGCATTTGTTGAACAAAGAGCAAATCGATCAATACATGCACATACAATTAAATAGCGAGATATTTGTTGAGATGCATTAAACATATAACTTCGTATTTTACAATACGCTGTTATAATTGCCCATGGTCGATCATATGTATAGAGCAATGGTACAATGCCTATATTCAATGCCACCAAATTACTGAATGCCGAAGCAAAAAAGTCTGCAAGATCGAAAACGATCATTCAGTTATTTATGAAAGATTTTTTTAATGTTTTCTACTTACAGTTATTACAAGATGTTGTACGTAATGATTTTCTAAGAAAGAGAATAATATTGAGAAAATTACCCAAAATACCAATTGAAAGAACAACTGGATATCCATAACGTGTTATTATTCCTTGAATCAACACTAATGCTGGATATGGCTGCATTGATGACGACATAATTTCATACGATATGAAGCTTTCTATTTCATAATGCGAGAAATTTATATGACGATCGTATTTACGTAATTAACAGATATTCAACATACGTCACTAGCATAATAAATAAATAGGCAACATCGCAAAATGCTTGGGGTAACTTCATAAATTTTTGAAACAGAACCGGTTCATCATAGTGTGATGCGTCAAATTCGATGTTTTTATTTTATATTCTATAAATCTCGATCAACAACAGACCCGCCAACTTGTCTGCTTTTGGCAGAAAAAATCTGCTCTTTTTTGTGTCCTTTCCGTTCTTCTCATTCTTTTCTACTTTCTTAATATTGTACTTTTTTGTATTTTCATCCAACATTTTATATTCGAAAGAGTATTTTAAAAAAATATAAAGATCAATTCTTATCAATACTTGGTGATGCCTTTGCTCTATTCTTTTTTTTTATAAAGAAAATCTTTATTTACCATTTATGGCAAAAAAATGCCAGTATATTTTTCATTTGTATTTCATATTTTATCCATAATTTTCTTTCTGTTATACATTCTGTTGTGTTCATCTGATTTATACAAATTAAAGTTAACATTTTGTTGTTGTTTGACGAACTTCATTAATTAATATGATTAATAGTGTTACAGGTACAGAAAAACTTAAGTAGTATTGAAGATAATCGTGAAGAATTAATTTCTATTGAAAATCTACCAACATCATCAGTACGTGAACCGGAAAAAAAGAGATTGAAGAAAGATATTTTCAAACGAGCATGATTGAAAATCGCTGATATTCGACGATTTTTAAGAGTACAAGCTGGATTTGTCTCACGAGGAAACCTCTCCAAGTGTTAATTGCCGATCGTGCTCATATTTTGCCCATAAATAATAATTAATGAGACTAACAGAAGACCGGAAGGATTCATCCCCATACACTGTCCTTCCAGAGTTACGACCGTTTTACTGGTTTTTCGACCTCTGGCAATTGTATTTATAGAAAAACCCAACAACGGAATTTTGACCTGAAATTTTGTCCATAAACAGGTCTCACGGTCACTAGAATGTCCTAAAAATTTCAGCTAAAATGAGCGTTTTTTTCTCAAGATTTTGAATTTTCAAGAAACGATCATAATTCAAAGACAAAGGTAAAAAAATCGAGCTTCTTGGAACCTCAATATATCAAGAAAAAAGCGTTCATTTTAGCCGAACTTCTCAGGACATTCTAGTGACCATGAGATCTGTTTATGGACGAAATTTCAGGTCAAAATTCCATTGTTGGGTTTCCCTATAAACACAATTGCGAGAGGTCGAAAAACCAGTAAAACGATCGTAACTCTGGAAGGACAGTATATGGGGATGAATCTTTCCGAGCTTCAGCTAGTCTCATCAAGTCTTACTT